TTATATATATATATATATATATATATATATATATATATATATATATATACACATAAATACACACGTCACTTGCTCTCTGTCATCCAAAATGAGTGATAGTAACTACAAAGATGGTGATCATACCTTGAAAACAAATGTCTCATTGAAGACAGGGTTCAGTGTTTTTTTGTGAACTTTAGTGTCAAACTTCTTTTTCTTGTCAGGGAGCAGCAGGACTCGAACGTACGGATCGGACGTTCCACCCGAGTCCATGGACATGAGGTCTGCAGCTTGCATGATGCTGATCGTGAGCTGTGGACAGAGGAGCATCACAGCATCAGTAAGAAGACGTGTCAGAGTCACAGGCTCAAACTGACAACAAAAGGATGTAACACTTGGTTTTGTCCACACGTGGAAAAACATGATTCTTTTTTTCAAAAAAACATTTTACTAACCCTGTAAATAAAAATAACCACATTTAAAAAAATCTTGTGAATTTTTTTTTTTACGTGAACACAAAATTACATATTTCTATTTTATTACTATTTAATAGTTGTCAATGCATTTAAAAGTTACCTTGGTGTTCTCAAAGTCATAATCTATAGAGTACTGCAGCTTCCCCAGTTTTTCTTGTTCTTTCTCCTCCTCCTCTTTCTCCTCTTCTGTCATTCCTGTCTCGCCTTCATCATCATCATCATCCTGTTGTTTCTGTGAAGCAAAAAAATAAAACAAACTGAAATGTGGGTTGCATAATTTTTAATTTGCAGACCAAGATTTCCAATAGCATCCATCATGCCACAAACGCAGGAGGAGCTCCAGGAGTTTTTACAGGGGAGTCACACGGCTTGGTTGCTGCTTACCTGCACAGGAGTTGGCGGGTATTCCAGAAAGCTACTTATGTGAACGTTACACTTGAGTTTTTATTTCTATTGATAATAATTAAATAATCTTCAGTGAGAGTAATTGGTTGTCATTAGCGTTTAATGGTATTATAATAAGGTAAATCAACAACATCTGGCCAGAGGCAGGTGAGAAAGTAAAATATGGACTTTTTTACACGTTACAAGCTCGTAAATTAAAGTACATTTAAATATTAAGTTGTGTAACCTGTCATCACCTTCCATCATTCTGTAATAAACTCAAAAAATAAAAAATTCTTAAAAATAAGAAAAACTTATGAAATTAGCAACGGTCTAACTCTTAAATGTATTAAATCTACTTCTTTGAGCAAATTTTCTTCAGTTACAGAAGTCCAGATGAGTTCAAGTCTACCTTATTTTGTTTTCTTTTCTTTCGGTAGGTTTTTTAATGAAAGTGATTAACCATGAAATCAATTTATTCTTCTGGATACCTCATTTTACAGACACATCGACCTACAGTGAGCAGCTTGGTATGTTTTTCAAATTACCATTTTGACTAATGAACATTTTTAGAGGAATGTGTTCTGTTTAGCTTTATAATTTTTTGATTTTTTTATGCAAATGTGGAAAACTTCTGTCTAAAACAGTCTAACTGATGCAAAGCTCTAGTATGTAATTTCTGGACTTGCTAAGTATGAACCTAACGTGACTGATATTACTGTGGTTGCTGTAATGAATGGATACATGAGGGCTGCAACGACAATGGCTTTTTATTGTGCTGGTCATGCTCTCAACTTGGGATGAAGATACTCAGAACTGATCAAACTCATTGTTCCCTTTCAGTCAGTGCATTCGATACAACACATGACGTGAAGCATACATATGTGTTGTACCTCGTTTCCCTGCCTCAGGGAGCATTGGTTATATTCAAAACCTCCAGTTTTCAGCCATTCTGGGAGTGGAATCTCAGAGTTCGTGGATAAACTCGGAGTTTGTTAAACCTCCTTTCTGGAATACACCGCTCCTGATCAAAACAAGGGATTTCAAACTTAAAAGTGAAAAGATATTTTCTGGTTTCAAATAGTTTATTTTTAGTTGTTGTTGTTTCTACTTTTTAAACACTCCTCGTCCTCTTATCGGCTCGGTGGGCATTTCCTTCGACATGCTTGAGCAGCGCAGTGGCAGCCAGGGTCAGTGGAGACATTGCATGCTGGCTCCATTAAAGGGGCTAATGAATAGCACCATTTTCCAATGAAGTAAAACAAAAACTTCTTCTCTTTGGCAAATGGTTGAATGTTAGATTGCACCATATTTAGAATACCACCATTAATAAACTGTCTCACAACAGCCCATACCAATGCATCTTTATCAATAAAAATAAAAAAACGACATCAAAGAAAAAATAGGTTTAATATAATAACTTCTTAAGATAAACTAAGAGTTTAGTTGTCAAAGTAAAACATCATTATTAAGAGTTTCCTGAAACCAGCAATGTTTAGTTTAGTCCCACGGACAAATTAATAATCTGGTTGTGACTGAATTTTTTAAGGATCCTATAAATGTTAACACACCCACTTATAACGTGAAAATAAATATCCTAAATATTGTTTACCCTTGTAAAACCTTAACATATGTTTTTGTCTGAATATTATTTGAGATTTATTCTGGTTTACTTTATTAGCATCAAGAATATTATTTTGCTTGAGTGGAAGGATTTTACTGACATTAAAAAAAGCTAAATATTAGAGATTGATGAATATTTTTATTAGATGTTACATTGGCCTGCCATACAGTCCTAACTCCAATGTCTATTTTTATACATATAGAGCTGAAATTTGGTGTGGTTCTAGCTGAGAACTTTCCACATCACATGCTGCATCCAAATCAAAAATCCAAGATGCATAAAATAAATGACTCTAATTCACTATTTTTTTTTTTTTTTTTTTGCCACATTGAGCACAAATTTTGGTATGGTGGTAGCTGAGAGCAAACACCAATATTGTCAAATTAAAAATTTTAAATGGCTGCCACGTGGTAGTCCCCGTCAAAATTTCTCAAGGAGCTTAGTTCTTTTATTCTCATCCACTCAGTGCTGTTGGTTCAGAGATGCATCAACTTTGACCCACAGCATCCTTCCTCTAATGTTTTAATGGCAACATGAGAGACGTGAAACATATATTTACATTATGTAGTTTCCAACCCTGGTCCCTGAGGAACACCATACTGCATGTTTCTGTAGGAGTTGTGGTCTTGTCCCTGATGTTATGTCTGTTTCCCCCTGATCCTCTGTTTCTCTTTCTAGGGTTTGGGTTTCTCTAGTATCTAGCCACATCTTGTGTAGTGTTCATGTCTTGCATTCTTTCTCCTTCTCTGGCATCTGTGATTACCCACATGTGTTATCACTTGGTTTAATTGGTGTTTTCTGTATATAAGTCTGAGTCTCTCTGTTAGTCCTTGTCCTGGCATTGTTTATCTGTTCGCTGGTGATGACTCGTCTGTATTGTGAGTATCCCCTGTTCATTTTATGTTTTGCTTTGCTGCTATGCCAGCTCTCTTGTTCTGTTAATAAATTATTTATTTTACATATTTCTGAGTCCTCGCCTGCTTGCCTGCACCACTGGGTTCATCAGCACCAGCCTATTGTGACAATTTCAGTTGTTTCCTGCTCCAACATGCCTGATTCAGTGATTTAATTACTTTCTAAAGTTCTGCAGAAGCCGGTTAATCACCCATTCATTCAAATCAGGTGCGTCAAAGCAGGGAAACAAGTAAAACATGCAGGACGGTGATCCTCAAGGACCACAGTTGGGAACGTTGGTTACGTACTGTAACCCCAGATTCTATGAATATAGGCGTAGCCCTTTAAGGCTGTCGCTGATGGGTTTATCCCGTTATGCAGAGCATAAGCACTGAAAAAAAATTAGTCCACGCCCACCTGCTGTGTGGGCCCCACCCGGTCCGTATAAATTACGTTAAGAGCGGGAAATCGGCTCCCAAAATAGCTTTTTTCTTCAGCCATTTAGGAGCCAGTGAGGCCCGACGCTTAAAGGGCTACGCCTATATTCATAGAATCTGGGGTTACAGTACGTAACCAACGTTCTATTTCATATAGGCTTCGCCTTTTAAGGCTGTCGCTGATGGGTTAAGGGCGAAACGGATGTGGTCCTCGCCTCACTGGGTCCATTCGAACACAGTAAGAAGCGGAAGCTTGCCCAAAAAACGTCTTGTCACCCAGCTCCCCGTGTGCATAAACTACGCATCGCGTAATTATGTGCCATGCACAGACGCATGTTGTGTAACTATGCGTTCTGACAAGCATGAATACCCCGGAAAAACTTTCAACGGGAAGAGGAAGTTGAAAAGAGGGGGGGAGGGGGGCATGAACCAACTGGTTCATGGCTGAACAGTATAAACAGATTAATGTCCATGAATTGATAAATAATCAAATGAACTGATTGGTAACAATAATCATGAACTGATTAGTGACAATAGAACCAGAAACACAGACACGACTGTGACTGATAACAACATCTCACACTGTAATGCATGCAGACAGAAGTGAGCTTAAACAGAGTTCCATGAAACAACAATATTCATTCTGTTAGAGCACTAAGGACAGAATGTGTCATGGAACGAGCCGTTACATCACGTAGGTAAAAGCGAATAAATGAGCAGGGTGTTGACCATGCAGCCGCAGTGCAAATGTCCTGCATTGACATACCATTATGCAGAGCAGTCGAAGATGCGATACCCCTGGTCGAATGTGCTTAGAGGTTGACAGGAGGCCCTAAATCTGATGCTCTGTAGGCTTCAGAAAAGGCCTCACACAGCCAGTGTGACAAGCGCTGGATGGATAACGGCGACCTGCAGAAGCATCTCTATAATGCACAAACAACTGTTGAATTTGAACGCATTGCAGCTGTGCGCGTTACGTAACACGTCAACGCCTGCACCGGGCAGAGAAGATGAACAGATGCTTCCCCTTCTGATCTGTGGGGGGGAAAAAACCCCTCCAACGATATCACTCTTGATTTAAAAGAGCTCGTGATGTTTTAGGCATAAAAGCTGGGTTGGTCTTAAATCAGCTGAGCTGCCCGTCAGCCTAATTCTAAGGCATGACGAAGCAACAGAGAGGGCAGATAATTACTTACCCTCTTAACGGGTGTTAAAACCAGCAACAGGGCTGTTAAAAGAGACAAGAATTTAAATGAAACCTGATCCAGAGGCTCAATTGAAGCTTTGATCAGGGCTCGCAGGACCAGCGTTAAACCCACTGTGGAACAAGTGGGCGTGAAACAGGCCTACATCTCTGTACACCTTTTAGAAACCGCTTCATCAGCGGGTGATAAAAGCTGTTCTGTCTCCAAACCCTTGTGGCAGGAAGAGATGGCTGCAATCGTACGTTAAAGCGTACTGAAAGCCAACTCCCTATCCATCAGCTGTTGTAGAAAAACAACACGCCGCCTAAAAGGCATGAAGTGGTCTCTAAACCTTCTCTGTACACCAGCGCTGAAAAGCCGTCCCCTTGATGTGTACAGAACTGTGGTAGATGCAGCACGTGAATCTTGAATTGTGCACACTATCTCCTGAGGGAGACCCATCCTCTAAGTGGAACCGCTCAGCGGTCAGACCCACCGGTGTTGACCTATTTCTGGGTAACTCTTGGTCGCTCCTCCTGCCTGAAGGAGAGCATCCTTCCTCCATGACAGTTCCACGGCGACCCAACAACAGACGTTGCAGGCCTGGGAACCATAGTGCGTTCACACGCCGGGAGCCACCAGGAGAGCTGTCAATCCCTCCTCCTGAACTCGGTTCATGGACCGTAAAAAACAGAGGAGGTGGGGGAAA